TAAACTCGGACTTTGATGTTGAGCGTCCAAGGACATGGAAAACTATTTGCATGAAATGTCGCTCGAGCAATATCACCTGCTGTTCGTAGCTGGTCTGGTGTTAAATAGCGAGGTTTTCGGGTTTGACTTCCACTACAATCATCACCATCTCGCGCTGACCTGGTTTGCATGTAAGTGTTTAGTGGTTCCAACTAGTGATGCTGGTGGTGGTAGTCAAATCTGAACCTCGCAAATAATTTTGATAGTGCAGTGTTTATTCTTGCATGTCTATATTGTAAAATACGTGTTGTTAGGACTAAAGTCTGGTGTAAAATGGCTGGAGTCACTTTTGACTTCCATTACCGCTATCACTACCTCACGCTGAGTAGTGTAGTTATGTATTTATTCTTGCATGTTTTATGTTAGTATAAAAGCCAGTAAAATCAGTATTTACGTTGTCCAATTTGTAGTCCGTAATATGTCGTGTTTTAGTGTTAGATGGATAGTATTAGTATAGGATTCTAGTTCTGTTCTCCAATCCTTCAATCATAGCTATATGCGTATTTTATATATAATATGATTGTAAAGTTAATAGAGAGAAATTTTAAAAAATGTCTGGAGATGGAGAAAATAGAAATTGACTACAGGTAATGGATCTGGAATAGCAGATAAGTTACATGAATGTGACATGTATTATGTTATACCTGCAATATGTCCCTGTCAGGCGCAGATCCACGATATTTCGGCTGACTGATGCATCATTGCATAATACTCGCATAGGTAGGGGGGTCCTGGGGTGTCTCCCCCTGAAAATTTTGGAATCTAGAACCTCGCAAATGCGATTTCCTGCGTTCTGAGCGAACATTTTATTCAAATTTCGACTTCGAAATCGTAGTACTAATTTCCGAATTTTCAACAAAATATGTTGAAAATTTGGGTTAAATTTTTCAAAGGCAAAATAACTATGTCACTTTTACAAAATGAAGTTAAATTACTTTACATGAGCTACTGTATACCAAAACAAAACATTCACATTATCTTCACAGCGAAATTCACAGTATATACTTACTACGCACCATCCTCCACAATCCAATCAAGAATAATGGAAAGTAGAGGCATAATCACTTTTTTACTGTGGAAAGCACAGTCAAAACCTGGTCAAGCGCCGCCTCTCCCACGCAAATGAATAAAAATACTCCACATCAATTACATACGCGCCATGACATGACCATGCATTATAACCAACCAGTACGTTAATCAAAGTACCGAGTATATTCCAACAGCAGCAGGGATGACGAGATAATCAAGTTAAATGTTCAAAGTAAATTATATTCCAACAACAGCAGCACAATGACGAGACCATCAAGTTAAATGTTCAAAGTTAAGTATATTCCAACAGCAGTCAGCAGCATGGATGACGAGATGATCAGGTTAATTTTAAAAATGTTCAAAGTTAAGGATATTCCAAAAGCAGCACAATGGCGAGACTATCAAGTTAAATGTTCAAAGTTAAGTATATTCCAAAAGCAGCACAATGGCGACATCATCAAGTTAAATGTTCATAGTAAAGTATATTCCAACAGCAGCATGCAGGGATGACGAGATCATCAAGTTAAATGTTCAAAGTTAATTATATTCCAACAACAGCAGCACAATGACGAGATCATCAAGTTAAATGTTCAAAGTTAAGTATATTCGAACAACAGCAGGGATGACGAGATCATCAAGTTAAATGTTCAAAGTTAAGTATATTCCAACAGCAGCACAATGGCGAGATTATCAAGTTAAATGTTAAAAGTTAAGTTTATTCCAACTGCAGGGATAACTAGTGCAAGTTATTGAATTGTTCAGCTTCTTAATGCCGACTTTATTCGTTGTAATAAAAAATGTCAAGAAACTGCATTCGAGTTGGATTTTGTCGTGCAAAGGTATTCATCACTTCGTCAACGTTTACAGTAACATCATATTTATGTGCATCATAGCTATAATCCGTTTAATCTCTCGCTTGACATCGTGGTTCTTAGCCAAGACTTCATGCGTCGCAAAGCTGAGACTGAACGTTCACATTCACAAGTGGCGACAGGTACAACTGCCAGGATTTTAAGGGCCACGTAAATATTTGGGAATGCAAGTTCGTTGCAATTTCTTAGAGTATCAGCGATGTTGTCATACTCAACTTTCTCAAAACCATTCTTCCAACTGGTTTCCCATAAGTCTAACTCTGCATGAATTGTGCGGAAGTTGGGCATATCATCTTCGTAAGCGGACATGAATTTCATAAATTCAATCTTCCAATTCACACCTTTGCAGTGAAGAAAGTTGCTATGAATTACACAAAAGCCATTGTAAAGATTGCACATCTCCGACGGAAAACGAGATTCGATTTCCCCGATGACATGGTCAAGAAGTGGAATGGCTAGTTTTAAATCTGTAGTAATCACGTGCTGTGTTGACGGGATAATTATCACGGTTTGTCTGAACATCGCATATCCTGGGAATCTGGGAATCGCACAATTTGACCTTCTTAGCTAATTCCAGTGCCTTAATTGTCGCAGTACAGATCATGATACTTGTCGACAGAAGAACGTAGTCTCGCCAGGTTATCCTTTAAAACATTGATGTGCTTAAGAGATTCTGCGATGTCGATTTTCTTTTGCTGTAGTTGGACTGTTAAGGATAAGGTATGATCCAGAATATTCTGTGTGATAACAAGAGCAACAACAAAATCAAACTTTTCCACTTGACGGAAATGCGACTGAGCATCACTGGTTGATGTTTTGAATTCATTATGGTTTCCTCCGAATTGTATATAATTCAATGTTTGGTAAATGACTACGAATGCATCCAGAAAAGTATCCAGCGAGCTTATTCTTTCTACCCAGCGTGTCGTAGATGGGGTTACTAGCTTCCGAAATGTTAAACCAGCCTCTTCAATTTTCTCACTCAATTACTGCGAGCGCGTAGGAGAGCCGCTAAAAAAACTGACGATCTTTTGGGCCTGACCCAACATATTTTTGACTGGAAGAATCAGGGCCTATTTTAGTGTGCAGTATTGCACACTTTGTGCAGTATTGGATAAAAAGTGTGCAGTATTGAATGCAAAAGTGTGCAGTATTGAAATTTGAAATAAATTTCAACTTTGTATGTGATGAAGGAGGGAAGTACATGAAATATAAAGTTGAGAATTCCAAAATGCCTTTCCAACAAAATGAGTGAAGGTACAAACAAAGATTGGCCAAATATAAGCCAAGTTCCGGTAATAATTCAATCTTTAGTATTTTACAACAATACGTGCTCATCGACTATGCTCAAGGAAAAAGTCACGTTGTCATTCTACAGTGTGTCTCAAAAAGAGTATACCCTTTCAAATTCAAATTAACCGTAATTTATCGTGGTAATTTGACAGCCCTATTCATTGAGGATCATTTGTGTTGCATCAGTGAATTACTACAATAGGTTATGGCTGATATGAATTTGAAGGAGTTTACTTTTTTGAGGACACCCTGTATGTTGTCATTATGTTCTACATAACAATTCAACGATGACGTCACCTAAACTTTGTGTAAATAACCTTAACATATTCGGAAAATCGGGTTGGCCATTGGGAAAATTACGGCAATAATAGTATAACAAAATTTTAGTTGTTAAACAGAGAAAATATAATATAATTGTATTGTCAGTATAAACTGATTTACGAAATCATGGCATTTACATGGATAACATTTAAAAAATCGTAAATCGGTAAATGTTTTTCGGTTTACCATACCTCAGGGCCGTAGCAACCGGGGGGGGGGGGGCTAGCTGCAGCCCTCCCAATAATTTCCTAATAATCATTCTTTTTTCAAAATCGTACAGACCTTTATCATTTAAAGAATATATATTTATTTATTTATTTAATTTACCCAAAAACAGGAAGGGCGCACCCACAGAGCCGAAGCTCCAATAACGGGTTCCCCGCGTGAGTTGTAAAATACATAGAAATATTGTATACAAAGAGTTAAACACTAAATAGTGCATCACAACAAAAAACAACAAAAAGTCATCACATAATATAAAGAAAGGGCACTAGCAGCACAAAGTGTCCCTGAGTGAATCCAAAGGACGGGCTTTGTGACATTTGACACAAACAGTCTTGTATGTGTGCGGCAATTCTGGGTTATAAACATTAG